TTTCTGAAGATCATGTGACACTGAAGACTGGAGTAATGATGCTGAAAATACAGCTGCGCATCACAGAAATACATTACAGTTTAACAGAGATTCACATAGAAAACAGCTGTTTTAAATTGTAATAATATTTCACCATATTACTGTTTTTACTGTACAAATAGTGTAGATTAGAACAGTGATTACTGATTTTTTTACTGTATTTCTGATCAAATAAATGCAGCCTTGTTGAGCAGAAGAGTATAGCTCTTTAAAAAAAAATTAAGATGTTACTGACATCATCAATGTAAATTAATTTTTTGACAATTTGAACCGCAATACCATGCAGGTAGCTTTTTTTAAAATTATTATTCATCTTTGAAATTCCTATAAAAATAAGCTAAATTTGTTGTTATTATCATTAAATAATATGTAAAAATAAATAATCAATCAAATAATTTAGATTGATGTATTATCAAGATATTAAATAATATCTTAAATAATATTAAACAAATAAATTCACATTATCAAAAAGAGAGCAATCCTCTCATAAAATGCAGATTATGTGAATAATACTTGAGGAATTGTGGCAAACACACTGTTCTGAGCTTAGTCACAATGAAAAAAAAACAACATGATGCTTTTCGTAAGTTTTCTTCATATAAAGATGCACATTGTTTTCCATTAAGAACAGCGATCGTTTGAGCACAGTGTTGTTTTGTCATCAGGTATCAGAACATCCAGAGGACGATGGCCACCGAAGACGAACCGGCCGGCCGCGGACCTGAGAGAAACCGCGCAGGAGACACAGAGACTGAATCCACTACACAAGCTCCAGGTGGGCCTTTCTTTAGATGCTGTTTGATGAGAATAAATTGAGTGTTTAGTTTTGAGCAGTTGCAGAGATCTGTGTTAGCAGACAGGCTGCCAGAAAACACATCATGTGTCATAGACCCTGAATTTTAAGTTAATATGTATGTATTTCCATTTGAAATTCAACCAGAAAGTGAGATGCTTGTAGAAACCAGTAGACTGAAGAGAGGTGATCTTCTAAACTCCAACTTGGATGCATTTATTGATGAGTAATTCTGTACTGTTCCAAGCTTAAAGGAAAAATGCTGAAATTTTGGAAAATGTGCTCACCCTCAGATCATCCGAGATCAGGATGAGTTTGTTTCTTCATCAGGTTTGGAGAAATGTAGCACTGCATCAGTGTCTCAGCAATGGATGCTCTGCAGTGAATGGGTGCCGTCAGAATGAGAGTCCAAACAGCTGATAAAAACATCACAATAATCCACAAGTAATCCACAGCACTCCAGTCCATCAGTGAACATCTGGAGAAGACAAAAGCTGAAACTAATCCAGCATTAAGACGTTTTTAACTCAAATACCATTGAGTCCATAATCCATAATAACGCTGCCTCCAGTGAAAAAGTGCATCTGCTGTTGTCTCTCACATCAAAATCCAGCCACATATGTGTTTAGAGCTGTTTAAACGCTGCTTGATCTGTGCAGATTTCTCTCCTGATTCACACCAGAACACTTTTTCACTGGAGGAAGCGTTATTATGGATTACGAACTCATATTTGAGTTAAAAACGTCTTAATGCTGGATGTGTTTCAGCTTTTGTCTTCTCCAGATGTTCACTGATGGACTGGAGTGCTGTGGATTACTTGTGGATTATTGTGATGTTTTTATCAGCTGTTTGGACTCTCATTCTGACGGCACCCATTCACTGCAGAGCATCCATTGCTGAGACACTGATGCAGTGCTGCATTTCTACAAATCTGATGAAGAAACAAACTCGGACATCTACATCTCGGATGGCCTGAGGGTTGAATACATTTTCAGCAAATTTTTGTTTTGGGCTGAACTATTCCTTTAAATAAGCCAATGTGTGTGTGTGTGTGTGTGTGTGTGTAATGTTTGTAGATCAGAGCAGAGAAGGTCCTTCATCTCCTGTGAATAATCAGAACATGACGCTGCTGCTCCAGTGTCCAGCCGTGAAGTTTGTGACGCACCCAGAATTCTTTTCTGTCCTCCACGCTAACTACGTAAGTCAAAATGACAAGCTTCAAATGTGAGTTTTCATGTGTATTCTAGTAAATTCTGTGTTTTGTCTTGAAGAAAGAAGATTCAAACCATTTGTAGCCAGCCCACTGAAAGTGACTTGGTTTGCTTCAGTGTATGCAGACACAGGAGCGCTGCGAGGATCGGCTCGCCGCTCGTGAACAGACACTGTCCACAAGTAGATTGTACTTTAGCTGAAGGGTGATATTGATTGAGCTATTTGCAGATACCCTCTTTATTGATCCCATAAGCTCTGCAACAGATAACAGACATTAACAAGTCCAAGATAAAGCGTGCTGAGACCCAAGTGGATCTGTGGGAGAGTACACTCTTGAACACAAAAATATCACCAATTCCGATGATAGCACCAGTCTTATCTCTGATTTCCAATAATTTAATGCTCTTAAAGAGATAGTTCACCTTCAGTTGCTGGTCCCCATTGACTTGCATAGTGATTTTTTTCATACTAATCAGTGGGGACCAGCAACTAAAGGTGAACTATCTCTTTAAACTTTGTCCCTGCAAGCTCTTTTAAGAGCCACACCCACATCTCAACATCCAATCAACAACCGAAAAACAGAACCAAGTCCCGCCCTACAGTTTTTTTTTTTGATAATCAATAACAAACAGATGTGCAGTATGTCCAAATACAGAAGAAAATATCTACTGCTACTTCTGTTTCATCACCATTTTAATAACATAAGAATCAAGTTGATTAAATTACTGCCCAAAATAATAAAGCATAATAAAAATAATCATTTATTTTAAGTATTTTATATCTATCTATATATATCTATATATATATATATATATATGCATTTATTTATTTAGTTATTTAGTTAAAATATTTAAACATTCTTAAATGTACATTTATAAATAGCAAATATCGGTGCAAAAAAAGAATGAATACAATAGTTGCTTTGTTTTTCAGTAAAATATTTAAGATATAAAAATATCTGTAAAATTATATTAAAATATAGATTGCTTCTCAGGTAAATTTATATTTTAAAAAATTAATTAAATTGCTTCACACATAATTTTAAGAAAATCCTAGATATTTTTTAGCTGACTGAAAAACAAGGCAACTATTTTATTGATTGATTGATTGATTGGTTGATTGCACTGATATTTGCTATATTTTGTAATTACCGCAACAGAATAAATAGCAGTAAAATTATTTGGCACATGCAGATTATACGTATGCAGGAATGTATTGCTGTGGAGTTTGTGAAGCATGTAATGTTATTTTTTATTTATTTTTATTTTTATTTTTTCAGAATGAAGGCTAAACCAGAATGTGGACCTTAATTAAATCATATAAGCAAATTATGTACATATGTTTATATTCCTTATTATGGGTTTCTGGAAATGTTAAATCCTGTGAAACTGTACATTCTCATTATTTATAGAGACATGTGCAGTCAATGTCCTTTCATTATTCAATCACACACACACACACACACACACAATCACACGCACACACACAATCACACGCACACACACAATCACACGCACACACACACACAATCACACACACAATCACACGCACGCACACACACACACACACACAATCACACGCACACACACTCTCTCTCTCTCACACACACACACACTCACACACCTGTCTTTCTCCTCAGGGTGCGTATCGGATGTTTACTAACAGCACCTGCCTGAAGCACATGATTCTGAAAATACGGCGAGATGTGCGCAACTTTGAGCGATATCAACACAACCGCGACCTCGTCTCTTTCCTCAACAAATTCACCGATTCTCAGCTAGAGCTTCCGAGAGGCTGGGAGATCAAGACAGACCCGCAGGGCAAGGTGAGCTCCTCCAGACACACACAGAGACTGTGTGGAAAACAGTACTGGCTAGACTAGCATAACATGAAACTGCTTTAGTCTTTAATGACATGATTCTATGTGAGAACGGCTTCATACACACAAGCACTGCTCCCCATCGATGAGCCGCTGCGTACTTATGGAAAATAATAACGGGTAGACTAGCATAACGTGAAACTGCTTTAGTGTTTACATTCAGATTAATGACATGTTTGTGTGTGATCTTTTGCTGTGGTAGTCGTTCTTTGTGGACCACAACAGTCGTGTGACGACCTTCATTGACCCCAGGATTCCCCTTCAGAACGAACATCTGCTGAATCACCTCACACACAGACAACACTTACAGAGACTGCGCAGCTACAGCGCCGGAGAGGTGCAGCGCCAGAGTGACTGATTATCACTTATTTTTTAAAATATGTCATGCTATATGACAGTGAGCAGAACATGGCAGACATTTTATGCCAAAGAAAATAAAAGCATTGTAACATACCAGCAAAACTGTTGCATTCTGGGAGTTTATTCTAGGTTTTCAGAGATACATAAATCCATTATGCTATAAAACTGTTAAAACCATTTTAGTTCATTTAAATAAAGCTTAAATAAATTAAATATAAATATTAGTTGAAACAAATTAAACTTGAAAACCCTAATCAAACATTTGAAATGTTGCCTTGGCTGCTAACAGAAATAAAATAAGTTAAAGTTGAAGTATTAAAATAGATAAAATAACAATAAAAATATAAACTATCTAAAAATATATAAAAAATATATATAAAAATATATAAATTTAAAATATATTTTTAAATAAAATATAAACATTAGATTAAAATTTGGAATAGAAATTTAAATAAATAAATAAAGTTTGGTTTGGGCACCAACAGAAATAAAATAAGTTTAATATAATGTAATAAAATGACTAAAACTAATAAATAAATAAATAAATAAAAAATACAAATCAATAAAAATGCATTAAAGCTAAATAAACAAAAAACGAATACGATTACAAAAGTCCAAAACAAATTGATAAAAACTTAAAATAGCTGTTGCCTAAATGTTTATGTGTAATAAATTTTATGTTGAATCAAACAGAATATTTCTTTCTAAAGCTACAATTTGTAATGTCTACTTGGTACTTTCTCATTTAACACAAAAATAGCTGTAAATAATATTTTGTAGGTATTTTCAGTCAAATTTATTTTGCGATTAATTAATTGAAACATCATGTAATTAATTATTTTAAAAAAAAATTATTGACTAACAGCCCTAAAAATTACATAAACTAAAATAAAGCTGATATAAAATAAAATGTAAATATCACATGACAAAAATAAAGCAAAAACAATTGGAAATGTTCCCTAAGATTACTAAAACTAAAACTGAAATATAAATAAATTAAAGCTAAATAGAAATATAAAAGAATGACAAAAGCACATAATACAATTAATACATCTTAAACTTAATTAGAGGTGATATGAAATAAAATATAAATATAAGATGAAAAACTAAACTAGAACTAAGTAAACAAAACTTAGAAATATTTCCGTTGCAACTAACTGAAATAAAATAAGTTCAATTAAGTAATATAATTACTAAAAATAAAACTGCAATAAAACAAAAAAGTCGATTTGTTGAAAAAAAAAAATACAACTGACAAAATTACTAAAACTTAAACTAAAATTAAAATGACAACTGAAAATATAAAATAAAAGCCAATTCAAAATATGAATAAATAATATAATAGTATATAAATAATACTAAAATATCACTCAATTATGACTAACATTGACGTGTTAAGCTCATATAGCAACACAGTTACAGTCCGACACAATAAAGATGCATGAAACATGCTTAAAACATGTAAAAAACAAAGTTTGTGATGGTGAATCAGCATTTAACTAACAGTGCATTAACAGTGGCTCTAATGCAGCGAACCCATCATTATCTTAAAAGCATTCCAGAATGCACGCTATAATTTTATTCAGCTAGTGAAGTGCTTTACTGTTACTTTTTTAAAAACAATTAACATTCCATTAGTTCAGACCTTTCAAAAGCTACTCAGTGTGGAAAGAACGCAGCGAGAGTGGAAATGTGAGATTGTGTGAATGTTTACGTGCTCCGTGCATGCTTTCTCTCAGGGAGAAAATCCATTACATCAGAACTGAAGGTCCTCAGGGCGTTGAAAAGCTGTCCTGTGACGCCGACCTGGTCATGCTGTTAAGGTACGGTGACTGCAGTGTGAGGGACGGGGAATGCTGCATGAGCTCGGTGTTTTTGTTGCAAACCAAAACCACAAGGCTTGACAGGCAGTAGTATATAAGAGTCTTTGAACACAGTCCTCAGCGTTTGATTCAGTGCCAGCGTTTGGCAAACATATGACTCACTCACATGGACCAGCATGCAGGACTAGTTATTACTGGCTTAATCAACTAGTCAAACTCTCCAAACAGCTAACACACAGCTGAATACTAGATAGAAACTAGAACATATTAAAGGGGACATGACATGGATTTTTTTTTTATTATTATTTTAATGTTCCTTGAGGTTTACTTATAATGCTAAAAAATATTTTTTATTTTTTTGCACAAAAAAAGCAGCAAAACTGTGAAGCAGTGGACTGTGTCAGAAAGCGAGCGCGCATCTGTATACTGTATCCAGTGTAGACAAAAGCGGCTGTGAATGTAATCTCTGCTTGCTTTTGATGCGACATGACACTCGCATTCAGCGTAATCAAGTGTCAGCTGTTAAAGGGTTAGTTCACCCAAAAATGAAAATTAGCTTGTTATTTACTCACCCTCAAGCCATCCTAGGTGTATATGACTTTCTTCTTTCAGACGAATCCAATTGGAGGTATATTAAATAATGTACAGGCTAATCCATGCTTTACAATGGGAGTGGATGGTAGCCCAAAATCTGAAGTCGAGAAAATTGCACCCATCCATTATAAAAGAAGTCCACACGGCTCCAGGGATATTAAAGGGGACATGACATGGATTTTTTTTTTATTATTATTTTAATGTTCCTTGAGGTTTACTTATAATGCTAAAAAATATTTTTTATTTTTTTGCACAAAAAAAGCAGCAAAACTGTGAAGCAGTGGACTGTGTCAGAAAGCGAGCGCGCATCTGTATACTGTATCCAGTGTAGACAAAAGCGGCTGTGAATGTAATCTCTGCTTGCTTTTGATGCGACATGACACTCGCATTCAGCGTAATCAAGTGTCAGCTGTTAAAGGGTTAGTTCACCCAAAAATGAAAATTAGCTTGTTATTTACTCACCCTCAAGCCATCCTAGGTGTATATGACATTCTTCTTTCAGACGAATACAATCGGAGTTGTATTAAATAATGTCCAGGCTAATCCATGCTTTATAATGGGAGTGGATGGTAGCCCAAAATTTGAAGTAAAAAAAAATTGCACCCATCCATTAAAAAAGAAGTCCATACGGCTCCGGGGGGTTAATAAAGGCCTTCTGAAGCGACGCGATGCGTTTGTGTAAGAAAAATATCCATATTTACAACTTTATAAACCTTAATCTCTAGCTTCCGCTAAATTTGATTTCTCGTGTCATGACCCCTTTAACTAACAATTTACAAACTAACAGAATGTTCTATTTTTATTTTATTTATATTTATATTATCAATTATTTTAATTTTATCTATTTTATTTTTTATTAATTTTTGAGATATTACATTTTTATTAGTTATACAATATTTATACATAAATAAATAAAAATATGTTTTCTGCATACATTCTAATATGTTTCCTCTCTGTCATTCAGTCTGTTTGATGAGGAGATCATGTCGTATATCCCATCTCACTCTTTCCACCCCGGCCTCAGCTTCTCTCCACGCTGCTCTCCCGGATCCTCACCTCAGAGTTCACCGGGTATGATCGTATTACTATTTAAAAGCAAGACTTTCATCATTGGGTTTGCTTAGGCTCATTTAGTTGGACAAAAATGATACCCCTAGTTTAGCTTTGAAACTACTGGTAGATCTAGATCTGTAGCCAACAAAAATTGCCTGTGTATTCAAGATGAGCAATCAGTATTTTTGGTCTGTTCTCACCAAAGAGACTATAGATGTACTAAAAGTTATTTTTGTCAACTTTTAGAATAACACAAGCAAAAAGAGTGCATCAAAGATAAAAGACATGGATTAAAAGCTACAAATGGACAACTATTTAAAATGCTAAAAACACAATCTAACTGTTTTTACTCAAATTATTATAGTATCTCTAGCTCAGTAACACACATCCACATACAGTACATACTGACTTCTAAGGCTTTTAAAAAAAAAACAATTTAAGCGTCTGTGGAAACATGAGCTGGTCTCTTGTGTGTGGCGCCGCTTGCCAAAACCCAGCAAAAGCTTTTCCCTAACAACGAGAGCAATCATTCCCCGCATCAGTTCTTCTGTGTGTTTGCGGTTGCAATCTGGCCGGTCTACCACTTCCCTCATGTTTAAACAAATCACAGGTCTTTCCTCGCGTCGGCATGGTTCTTTCTGAACTGAGAATGATCACATACACTCACACCCCAGCGAGACACGAGTTAAAGCGACTTAATCTCATGGCGGACGTCCCGCTGTGCTACACAGAATGTGCTAGTGCAGTTTAATGAGACTGTTCGGTACACTAGTGTTTGATGAGAAACTCAGAGTATGAGTAAAATTATTTCACAGCATGGTGCTGACATCCCTGCTCCATTTGCTTTGTTGTTTCACATTGAGGCCCCTAGAAATTTTAGATGCATTAAATGTATCTTTTCTTTGACTTCTTGCCCACTTTTATTTCATTTGAATACATTGTATGACATTTTTAAATGAGGAAATGTTCAAAAATAGACCAGTGTGTAATTTTATGCAGTGGTATTATGTATTTTGACAGGCTTGCAGAGGGCCAGAGCGCCCGCTCCATACCGCAGAGACTTTGAGGCAAAACTTCGCAATTTTTACAGGAAGCTGGAGGCTAAAGGCTACGGCCAGGGACCAGGAAAAATCAAGTAAGTGTGTCGGATGGATGGATGGATGGATGGATGGATGGATGGATGGATGGATGGATGGATGGATGGATGGATGGATGGATGGATGGATGGATGGATGGATGGATGGATGGATGGATGGATGGATGGATGGATGGATGGATGGATGGATGGATGGATGGATGGATGGATGGATGGATGGATGGATGGATGGATGGATGGATGGATGGATGGATGGATGGATGGATGGATGGATGGATGGATGGATGGATGGATGGATGGATGGATGGATGGATGGATGGATGGATGGATGGATGGATGGATGGATGGATGGATGGATGGATAGATAGATAGACAGACAGACAGACAGACAGACAGACAGATATTACATTGATTTTGATTTGGTTTAATTTTGTGTTGCTATCGAGGCTCATCATCAAAAGGGAACATCTACTGGAAGGCACCTTTAATCAAGTAATGGCCTACTCACGCAAAGAGCTCCAGAGAAACAAGCTCTACATCACCTTTGTAGGAGAGGAAGGGTCAGTCGACTGTGTTCTCATTCACATGCATGTTATTGACAGACATACAAACCAGAACTGGGATCTTAACTGATCTAAAATATTGCGTTCATGTTCCCTATAGTTTGGATTACAGCGGCCCATCGCGGGAGTTCTTCTTCCTGTTGTCTCAGGAGCTGTTTAACCCCTACTACGGTCTGTTTGAGTACTCAGCCAATGACACGTATACAGTGCAGATCAGCCCCATGTCTGCATTTGTAGAGAACCATTTGGAATGGTGAGAGATCTTCCGTTTTCTACCTTACTACTGTATCTCTCTTTATCCCCAATTATTGCTGCTTAGACTTGGAATGTCTTTGAAGTTCAGCTTTGTAGTTCTCTGGTTGATGTGGCATGTGGTTGAGGAATCGCATGCCTTCTGGTCAGAAGCGGTCACGCTACGTCTTTGTTTTGTCTCTTATTTTGGGATTTTGACTGACAGGGAAAATGGCCCTCTTGTTGAGTAAATTATAGTGTTAGGAAACTAAATACAAAGACAAATTCTCAGCGTTTGCCTTGAACTTCATCCAAGAAGAGGACACGTCTGGTGAATGTCAGTGTTGAGATTCACAACGTTTAATTGAATTTAAAAGTTGTCCCAAGTCACAGTGTCTGACTTTCAAGCCCTATCCAGAAGGTAGAGAATTTCAAAAGCCTATAATTGGTTCAAAAACAGGATATGTGTTATATTGGAGCATGCACAGAACATTATGATATGGATAAATGTTTTGCTGGACCCTCACAGGTTCCGTTTCAGTGGCCGTATTTTGGGTCTGGCTCTGATCCACCAGTATCTGTTGGATGCTTTCTTCACTCGACCGTTCTACAAGGCCCTGCTCAGACTGTGAGTCTCAGAGGTTTTTTGGCGTCAAGGTGACACAATAAAGTGAGTTTCAAATTATGGATTTTGATTGGATGTCTGTATTGTGTGGTCCATAGAGTGACAGATCTGAGTGATTTGGAATACCTGGATGATGAGTTCCACCAGAGCTTACAGTGGATGAAGGACAACGATATCACGGATATCCTGGATCTGACGTTTACAGTCAACGAGGAGGTCTTTGGACAGGTGCTGGATAATTCATTCTGTTTTTGAAGCACCTTCAAGGAGGTTTTCATGTGTCTGCAACAAATGATAATTTTGATAATCGATTAATCTAATGATTATTAGAACGATTAATCGACTAATCGTCAACTATTTCACCAATTGATCAGTAGGCTTTGATCAATTATTCAGCTTTTGCAATTATTTAAAATATTGAGTTCTGTAATACAGAATACATATTCTGTACATATTCATACATATAGAGCTGATTTATAGCAGAACTAACACTGTTTTTTCCTGTTTAATACTGTAAAGCTGCTTGCTTTAAAGCAATCTATTGTATAAAGAGCTATATAAATAAACGTGATTAGACTGGAGTGCCGATTGCAGAGCTGATTCAAACGTATCCACATTGCTATGATCAGATGCTTTCTTAACTACCGTTTTCCCATGCTGTCATTTTTGTTGTGTTTATTTTGTTACTGAGAGGAAAGCGCACAGCATATATTTACATATTCATCTAAATGCCGCTTTCAGCAGTGTTGGGATATTCACAAGCACAAAACTTATTTTTATCCCTAACCAAGGAATGAAAAAATAACTTCAGCATCAGTATATCGGGCCTTTTACACATAAAAGCATTTGTTTTTTTTTTAGATAAAATTTCCCACACTCTACTGGTTTGGGTTCATTTGCACGTCTCATAAGCATTTCTACTTCTATTGGATTACATCCAGGAGGGCCGAATTACAGTCTTGTGTTACATCGCCACACTGGTCAAACCACGTTATCGCAGGCTGTTACATTAGGTCATATGAGATATAAACGAATATTCAACAACAAAAATATTTGTTGACAATTTTTTATTGTTTACGTTGTCTTTAATATCAACTAATCGTTTCATCCCTAGTGTCTTAACAAAATACAAGCAATGATAATGATCTATGATCAGGATTGAAGGAAACTGAGTCTCATGCTCAGGCATCTCCATTACGTATAGCAAGTCAAACCTGGTTACCAGTTTTGTATTAAGTTGTACTAAAACCACATTGTACTAAAAGTTGGCACGTCGGGGTCACCAATGCAAACCGAGCCACACTGTTTACACTAATGCTTCTCAATCCCAGTACAAACCCAACCAGAGTGGGGCCTCCAGGACCAGGGTTGAGAAACACTGGTTTACACTCAACTTCTTAATGAATTGGACTCAAACTCAATTCCTGGAGGGCCACAGCTCTGCACAGTTTAGCTCCAACCCTAATCAAACGCACCTGATCCAGCTAATCAAGCTCTTCAGGATCACTAGAAACTTCCAAGCAGGTGTGAGTTGGAGCTGGTTGGAGCTAAACTCCGCAGAGCTGTGGCCCTCCAGGAATTGAGTTTGAGACCACTGTCTTAAAGGGTTAGTTCACCCAAAAATGAAAATTAGCCCACAAATTACTCACCCTCAAGTCATCCTAGGTGTATATGACTTTCTTCTTTTAGACGAATCCAGTCGGAGTTATAATAAAAATTGTCTTTGATCTTTCATCTGCCCAGAGCTGCTTCCGTGTAGGACTGTTGGCGCAAGCTACATTAAAGTGATTATTATGTTTTGAATATGGATATTTTTCTTACAAAAATGCATCGATTCGCTACAGGAGGCCTTTGTTCACCCCCCGGAGCCGTGTGAGACACTTTTTTTTAATGGATGGGCGCCTTTTATTTAACTTCTTTTGGACTGATGCATGCAACACCGGCTGAGTGGCATTAAACAGCTTGAAAGATCAAAGACAATTGTTATTATAACTCCGACTGGATTCGTCTGAAAGAAGAAAGTCATATACATCTAGGATGACTTGAGGGTGAGTCATTTGTGGGCTGTTTTCATTTTTGGGTGAACTAACCCTTTAATGACTTACCTCAGGGGTGTCCAATCCTCTTCCTGGAGGGTCACTGCAGAGTTTAGCTCCAACCCTAATTAAACCCACCTGAACTAGCTAATCAAGGTCTTCAGGATCACTAGAAACTTCCAGGCAGGTGTGTTGAGATAAGTTGGAGCTAAACTCTATAGAACGATAACCCACTAGAAGCAGGTTTGGACACCCCTGGCTTACTTAAACAAATCTCGGAAAAATATTTTAACATTAAAAGAATTACACAGAACAAAAAGGTGGCTCAGGATGAATCCATGCTTTATAGGTGCCATGTCAGTAATACTTGTAAACATTATTTCTGCTGCAACAAAGGTTTGTACCAACCCTTAAAACTTTTTACATCTTTTGACAGGTCATAGAGAGGGAACTGAAGTCGGGAGGCTCCAATACCCAAGTGACGGAGAAGAACAAGAAGGAATACATTGAGCGCATGGCTAAATGGAGGGTGGAGAGGGGGGTTATGCAGCAGACCGAAGCCCTTGTAAGAGGTTTCTATGAGGTACGTTAGCTTGAATGGTAGCTTCACTGAAAATTAGTTAAAGAATTATTCACTAATCTAATTCAGATTATTTGAATGTCATGTACTGTATAAACTGTTCTTTTATAATGCAGGTCGTAGACTCCCGTCTGGTTTCAGTGTTCGATGCTCGTGAGCTGGAGTTGGTCATTGCAGGGACGGCTGAGATCGATTTGAACGACTGGAGATCCAACACAGAATATAGAGGAGGTGAGCGGATGCTTGCGTTGTCTTTAAAAATTCATGGCAGCTGCTCTGTCAACAGTGGGTAATATTGTCAGTTTTGTTCTAAAAGCTATCCATAAATGTTTAATTACTGGAGAGAAATGCTCACATGGTCTTCATTAGTGAGTAGAAGCTTGATTGCTCGGGTTAAGCATTTGTTCCATGTGAAGTGGTCTCACTTTTCTTTCAGGTCCTCTGCTGTGAATTACTATGGAGGGTCAACGGGATTGTATCCCACAGCTAATGCCAAAACAAGTATCCCATCTGTTTAGATTGCAGTTCATCATTTAGAACGGAGCTGTTGACATTAAAAGCGTGACGGGTGAACCCTGTAGAATTTCATATAACCCTGCGGTGTTGTGGTTTCACGGTGTCGAGAGAACCTCAGTTGAGTCTCTGGAGTCTTCTGTTGACTTTTTCTGCACAGCCTATGCACATTCGGATAGAGACGCCTGAAGGGCCTCTTTAGAGGCTAATTTAAATAAGCTTGTTTCTTGCTCCCAAAGGGCCACTTTTCTGCAGAGTTCAGCTCCAGTCCCAATAAAACACACCTGAACCAGTTAAACAAGAGCTGCTTTCACACCAGAGGAATGTCTTCATAGTTCTTATATGTGACCCTGGACCACAAAACCAGTCATAAGGGTCCATTTTTTTAAATTGAGATTTATACACCATCTGAAAGCTGAATAAATAATCTTTCCTTTGATGTATGGTTGGTTAGGATAGGACAATATTTGTCTGAGATACAACTATTTGAAAATCTGGAATCTGAGGGTGCAAAAAATTGAGAAAATATTGAAAATCAAAATACTGAGAAAATCACCTTTAAAGTTGTCCAAATGAAGTTCTTAGCAATGCATATTACTAATCAAAAATTAAGTTTTGATATATTTACGGTAGAAAATTTACAGAATATCTTCATGGAACATGATCTTTACTTAATATCCTAATGATTTTTGGCATAAAAGAAAAATGGATAATTTTGACCCATACAATGTATTGTTGGCTATTGCTACAAATATACCTGAGCTACTCTGACTGGTTTTGTGCTCCAGGGTCACATATCGTAACTCCTGGTGGAAGTACTGGGATCAACTGGGAATGATTGTAATAACACTAAATTAGCTCCTACTTCAGAGTAAGGTAAACACAACAGAAACTACTGGTGACGTAGCACATATTGGTGTTTAACTTTACCAGTCTCTCCATCACCCTCCAGGTTACCACGATGGGCATGTTGTGATTCGTAGTTTCTGGGATGCGGTGGAGCGCTTCAATAATGAGCAGAGGCTGCGCCTGCTGCAGTTCGTGACGGGAACGTCCAGTGTCCCCTACGAGGGTTTCGCAGCGCTCCGTGGGAGCAACGGCCTGCGGCACTTCTGCATTGAAAAGTGGGGAAAGATTACCTCTCTACCAAGGTATACTGCAAGAAATAACAAACCTTCTGCCTGCAGAATCGCATATATCCCAAATTATTGCTAAACACAGCTTTATAAAACTCTTGATGACTTTTTAGTACTTGAGGAAGGCTAATTCATCAAGAGGGAAAGCTTTATGCTAGCTGAAGTAGAAAAATATATCCAATTTACCAAGGATTGATTAGTATTGGTCATATTTGTTTAAATGAACAGTTTTTTTTTAAATACATTTTTATTTAGTTTTATTTCTAGCTATTTTAGTACATCTAAATCAGGTGTTGCCTTGGCAACTGGCTAAAAAAAAAAATATATATATATATATACACACACTATATATTAGTATTGAGGCACTTCCTACTGAAACAGGAAGTTGGTGTGGAACAGGATTTAGTAGCTTTAGTTTAGCCTTGCTAAACTGTGAATTGCTAGTTGCTAATGCTAGTCGCTGAAAGATGCTATTAGGAGGAGGGGATATTCTCATTCTGGAGACAAAAAAGTGTGATGTTATGAATATTATTGGTGTGTTTACCCTAGAGAGGATATTTTAAACGTGCATATATTGCTGAAAGTTTGTTTTTGTTTCGTCAACTTTTTGGAGCTCATTACCATATAGATGACTTGCATATGTGCTAGATTAGAGATGCTACACAGAAAGGTTCAGGATCTTATTCACCTGGGCTGAATATTAAAAACCAAATGATTTTCTATACCATTACACATTCATTTCACATTCTTCATAGTTTATATTTCATAGAATGAATATGTTGTGAGTCGTGAAATGAAAAACACAGAGTGCAAAATGCAGAAATAATGGATGTATTTAGGACAACGTCACCCAAGCAGTGCTTTAACCCACAGATTCTTTGTGTGGTCGACTATAAGCTTGTTCAGATACTGTTTTGTTTACCTGCCATGGTTCTTCCACACTGCAATTCAATCACAACAGCAAAGAAACCGCCTTACTGTTTAGACTTGTAAATAAAGCTACCCGAGACGACAAATTGTCATCCTGAAAACCAGCTCAATTTGCATCCAACATTTCACCTTAAATCATTTCACTCTGTTCTGGCAAATAGAAGGGGCTGCGAATCAAAGCCTGGCGCCGTCAGCACTAAAGTACAGGCTCATATTTCTCTGTCAGGGTGAGAACGGCTGGGAGTTTGTCATTGTGTGTGCACAGCGTCAGCAGCCAGAGCTAAATAAGGCCAATGTGATGGAAAACATACAGATGCCTCACTCAGATACAGAATTTCTCTGCTGGGGAAAGTTGTGCTTTACAGCAAAGCAGCTCACCGAAGTGTAGAGCTCGTCTCACTTATTCAGTCTGAGGTCATGATAGAAGCCTCCTCCTGACCTTTGACCTCTGTATTTTCGTCTGCTGCAGGGCACACACATGCTTCAACCGTTTGGATCTGCCTCCCTATCCATCGTACCCTGTGCTGTATGAGAAACTTCTCACCGCTGTGGAGGAGACCAGCAGCTTTGGTCTGGAGTGAAGATGATTGAGACTTGATTTTTTTTTTATTACTGCAAAAACGTTTTCAGTAACTTGGTCCACAGGAGACTTTTTAGAGATTTTTAAATCTGAGAATTTTGTTTCAAATGACTTGAAATAGCATGCTTCTGCACTAAAACACAAGATATATAGTACTTTGTGGGAGTGTGGGGTCCAACATGTATGCAATAGGGAAAAATTCGCTCCGGCCTATTGCATCTTACTCGTGTTTGTCCTTGGCATCATTCTATTGGTTAGGCACCAGTACGTCTCCTTTCTGATTGGTTATTACCTTAACATGTGGTAAACTGAGATTTCCAATGCCTGGCTATGTTTGAAATGGAATACTAACATATTGCTTAATACTGCACAGTATATACTGTACTTCATACTGCCAGTATTATTTTTTTTAAGTTCTGTAGTATGCAAAACATATGCAATAAATAAACACTTCCAAGTGCAGTATGCAATGCAGTTGTCACATGACCTCATTACACTGCATGTTTCATAATAAAGCATGTATCTCCCACTTTGCATATCAGCAATAAAGAGTTATTTTGCATTTTTAATGTGTGAATGATCAGATAAAAGTCCAAGATTGGTATTGCATCAAGTAGTCACACTGCATTATGACATACAGTACTCTAGATATGCACTGTGGTGAATATAAAACATTATCTAGGTATTGTATGCTTACAGATAACATTCATAATGTGCATGTTATGGATCCTGCATATATAGTATGAGTAGTATGCTAGTACACTATTCTGAACATAGCCCTTGACCAAACCTTAAAGGAATAGTTCACCCAAAAATGAAAATGTGCTGTTAATTTACTCACCCTCAGGCCATAAAAGATGTAGGTGCCTTTTTGTTTTTTTTCTTGAGTAGAACAGTAAAGGCGATTTTTAGCTGAAACCTCAACATAAGATAATCATAAGATCTCAACATATTGTCAGGAGCCACGGGTATTCATTTTGTGCTCCTTGATATGCTTTTTATGCTTTTTTTTTATGCAACTGCTGACTTGCATTTTATGAATCACCCAGGAGCATGGTTTCATATAAAAATCTACCGTTCTACTGAAGGAAAAAATCACCTACATCTTGGATGGCCTGAGGGTGAGTAAATTGACAGCACATTTTCATTTTTGGGTGAACTATCCCTTTAAATCTGTTTAAAAAGTCATGCTCGTTTCATCGGTTGAGCTCCAAATGACAGCACTGTTTTGCCTGATTTAATCATGTAGCTCAAATACTGTTGATAATGTCATTCAAAACTGATTCTGTTTGTGGAGCAGAAGTGGTTAAACTCAAGTTTGTCACCTCATTCTCACTAATATGAGCTCAAGCACACATGGAAGCTCACTTGATAGTGATGTAAGCCACTTCATTGTGTAACCAAATTAGTGACACTAACACCAAGCTCATCAGAGCTTTCTGCCAGCAGCGTCCATGTGGCTACGTTAGAAATAACTCTCTAACTGTTTAAACAATGCTTCTTAAAGGGGTCATATGATGCTGCTAAAAATAACATTA